AAAACAAAGCCTTATTTTGTGCACATTATATTTTACTTGATATTCAAAACATATCACAGAGGCATCCAGCCTTGGTTAGTACTACTGGCATCTGTCAGAATCACTAAAATTAAAGCTGTTTCTAAGCCAGTGAAGCTGCATCTTGGCAGCTACAAAGGTTGACACATCTTAAGATTTCACATTATTTTTACTATTTCTTCTCTTTCAGAAAAGAAAAAAAGGAAAGCACACTTTAGTGTTGTCCACCTTATAATTTCAGAAATTAAAACTTTAAGATTATTTAAAACACTATGTGAACTCAAAGGAAGAGTAGGTGATGAGTTTGAAACACTATGAGAACTCAAAGGAAGAGTAGGTGATTAGTTTCAGGTTACATTATAATAGAAGAGCAAGGCAGAGTTAGAATCACTTTCTGTACATCCATTTTTCTTCTTCTTGCAGAGGACTTAAATGTATCAATTTTGTTTTCACCTCAGTTGATAAAAAACCTCCAAAACTCCTTCTAAAACTGTACTGCTCACTATGATAACATGTATGCACAAGTTTTTTGCTCACATTTTTCATTAATTTTTATGAGCACCATCAATAAATCTTAGTAAATTATAAAAACAAGAGATCCCTATAACTCGTAGATTATTACCTTAATACTGCACAGTATAAAGAATAATTACCTAACCAACTTAACAGCAAACAAGCCACTAGGTTGAATTAGAAAGAGAAAACCTGGTTGTTGATAAAGATGATAGCAAGTAGGTGGCTTTGACAAGAGTTACCACGTTACCTCTTGAAACATACAGAAGTGGTCAATACAAGCAAAACTGACATACTTCTCGGGTTGCGTTTCTGCCTTGTGATGCAAGGAAAAGTATCCGTTTCAGTTTTGGCAAAGCAGCACCTTTCAAAAAGCCCCAAATTCCTTCTGCTAGAAAAGGGATTATGACCACTTAGCTTGATCCCCTAAAATCCAGATCCTGAATAATAGTGTCTCCTCAGCAGAGCTTTCAGTCATACTTCAAAGCTTGGGACACTCTCTCTCCTCAACATACGTTGCTTTAAGTGCTTGTATGGAACAAACTTGCCAAGAGAGAGAAGTGATGAAATTACAGCCAATGTGGCAGATGAACACACACCTGTACCATGTGCAAGCTTCACTGTTCCTTGTGATTTTAGTTTTGTCTCTAAAACTGCATTACTTGTCTACTGTTCTCCAATCTTCATACCGAAGTAAGATTTGCAGAAGATTAACAGAGGGAACTCAGCCACAGAAATCAGACTAGTCCAATCCTAATGATCTTCATTTCAAATAGAGGCAATTAGGATAACATGCTGGCTACAGACTAAGGGGCCTAATAGCCTACAGAGATCTACCACTGCATGCCTTTGCAACAATACACTCTCCTGTTAGACCAGCGGCGAGGATTCTTGGACAGAAGACCTGCATTTATTAAAGAGAGATGTTGTCGGATGCAGACACGTGCTGAGATGAGATAGCAAGGCCACATGAGAAGAGAAGGCCCTCAAACCATGAAAGTATGCCAGTCAAAGTTGGAGAAACTCTCAGAATGCTGAAACCACTGGTAAATTTCTGCCTGAATATTTTCCAACTGTTTTTCTGTGAACTGATTTAAAAATACCTCACATCTTATTGAGGAGTGCCAGATGGAGAATCTGTATTCGGAATGTATGTCCAGAGCCCAGATTTTGCTTGGACTTCTCCATCTTCCAAGCCAGGAGTACACAGGACTCATCAGATTAACAACAGTATAGTAGTGCACCAAGATTCTGTGAGGTTTTGAGGTTTCTCTTGAACCTTACTGACCCAGCAGACAGTAACCCTTTGTTGTCATTACTCATGTGCAATGTTTAGAAATCAAAAACATGCAGACAGGCATGACCAGACTTCAACATCATGGTGATTTCAGCACAGCTCAAGAAACCAGATTATGTAAGGAAGCATCAATATATTCCTTAGGGTGAAGGCTCTTCAAGATTTCAAATGCAGTTTGCCAAGAGGAGGAAAAATTAAGACCAAAAAGAACTTTATAAAGCAAGCTATTTGGAAATGTTTTCTATATTATCTGATTTACTAACATTTTACAAAGTATTTTTTGTGCAGGGATATGAAAAGAGAAATAAAAGGAATACAAAGCCCTGTGCAGGACACGTGACTAAGTTTCATACTACAATGCTAATAATAGAAATAAGAACTCAGTACATGCTGATATGAAGGCAATGGTATCTTAGGGCATGGGGAGATTAGGAGAAAAGTATCTTAAGGTAAATCAAGATGAAGCTTGGAGCACATTGGTTACTTCACTCCAACTGCCTATACCCCTGCACTTTCCCATCAGTAATCAATCCTACAGAGAATAACTTACCTCCCATTAATTTGCACTTGTCACGAGGTGAGACCATACACACCTTCTAATTTTTAGGCCTTGACAACAATAAAACACTATAGCTCATGAAAAGCATCCAACTCCAAAACAAAACTGCAGGCAGAGTGTTTCTGGCAGATACTGAGACTTCTACATAGCCTAGACTAAGTTTGCCTAAACCCTGTCCTAGGGCTTAAGAGACAATCCCAGCTGAGAATTACCTGTTCATTGATTTGGATAGCTTCCTCCTCGAGGAGAGCTGTCCCATGTTGTAGCCCAAGTTCCCATTAGGGGCTGAAATGTCAGAGCTATGATTCCTCCCACAAGTCAGACACCTGCAAGTTGGACGCACCAGTGCTGATCAAGCTTCCCTCCTTCACTAACTTCAGGCACTTAATACCACAGAACAAAACATACATTGCAGTGCTCTGCACAGGTAGCCAGAAGACATGAGAAACCAACACTACAGACTAAGACCTAATACAGGGAAGAATTAAATAATTTTTGCTTAGTATACTCAAAGCTGTAGTTTTGGAAAAACAACTGAAAAATGTTGTTCTCTCACTTTTCCATGCAAACTCTTCAGCAGATGACCACATGCTGTTGCCTCTGACAGTTACCAGTTCCCAACTTGATTATTATAAAACTTAAGGAATTATTTCTCATTCAAAAAATACGCCATAAGGCTCCTGCAAAGCTTACAATGCACGTCTACCATATTTAAAATAATACGGTTGTAACGATGTTCCTCTATACCATTATGCTTCAGTTTACTTGTAACAGGTCAATTTGTAATGAACAAATAGCACTATGTGTAGATGCCAGCATAGCAAATATTATTTATGAACATATAAAGTGACAAAATAGAAGAACCACTCATGTCCAGGCATTTAGTCCCCCTTGGAGAATTTAACATTAATGACTTCCGTGCACAACACTTCCAGTGTTGTGCCTCTGTAAGGTTACTCCTCTTTCAGTGTCTACGTAAAGCTATCGTTTACTCACCAGGACAAAAATTAGGTCACAGCTCAGAAATGTATGGACAACTGCTTCTAACACCGACTGTTAAAAAAACCCATCCAAGATCTTTGGAAATTAGTTGCTATTTTAGACCACTGGAGTGGATGAAAATAAGATTTATCACATGACAAGTCATGAAGGTGAAGCTACTGCCACATCAGCTCTTTCAACTTCTGAATTAAGCATACTACACCAACAATACAAATTAACAAATTAAGAAGAAATTATGGACCCTTCTGGATATGCTATTATATTAAAAAATTCAATTAACTGTAGTCTTATTAGAGTCTTAGTTTATAATAAAAGTATTTTGCAAGCATCATGGTAAAAAGTGTTGCACAGTCACTGTGATATTACCCAAAATATCTGTCCTGAAATCAGGAACTGTCCCATTCTTGGAACGTGCAAAGAAGGTGATAACGAACACGTAAGAAACACAAGGGGGGTGCCCAGAGGTGAGGCTTGGGAGGCGGGGGGATCCCCCAAAGCCCCCCCCGGGGACACCCCAAAGCCCCAGGGGTGACACCAAATCCAGGGGGTTGTCACTTGGTCACCAGAGCTGCTTCCAACCCCTGGGGTCCCCAGCAGGGTGTCCCAGGGGAGGTCTCTGTCCCCACAGGGATGTCCCTGTCCCCGGGGGGGGTCCCTGTGCCCGAGGGGGGTGTCCCTGTCCCCACGGGGGGGGAGAGGTGTCCCTGTGCCCAGTGTGTCCCCATCATTCTGGGGGTGTCCTTTCCTGTCCCCGTGGCCACCGCGTCCCACGGGGGTCAATACCCGCTATGTCCCCACAGTTCCCACAGGAAACCCAGTGTCCCCGTGGGTGTCTGTCCCAGATGTCCCCTTGCCCAGCTTGTCCCCGGGGGGGTCCCCAAGTCCCACATCTCCTGTGTGTCCCCCAAAAAAACACCAAAGCAAGGGCAAGGACCCCGAGTGCAGCGTCGCCCGTGGCATCGATTTCCAGAACGTGTCGGTCGTCATCAACTACGATGTCCCCCCCACAGTGGAGTCCTACATCCACAGGGTGGGCAGGTAGGTGGGGACAGGGTGAGGGGACAAGGAGGTGACCCCCCGGGGTGGCTGTGCCACCTTCCTGTGTCCCCCTGTCCCTGCAGAACAGCCCGTGCTGACAACCCGGGCACGGCGCTGACCTTGGCGCTGCCCGAGGAGCAGGACAGCCTGGATCGCATCAGGGACACTCTTGCTGCAGGTCAGGGGGGACCCTGGGACACTTTTAGGGGAGGAGGGTGTCAAGGGGGGGGGACATCAGGGTCTGGGGGAGGTGGGGAGGGGACCTAAATGTCCCCAACTCGTGTCCCCCCCCCCTCCGAGAACGGGGAGG